CTAGAAGAAAGAAAGAAAGAAAGAAAGAAAGAAAGAAAGAAAGAATAAATAAATAAAAGAACGAAAGAAAGAGAGAAAGAAAGAAACAGCGAAAGAAAGAGAGAAAGAAAGAAACAGCGGAAGAAAGAAAGAAAAAAGAAAGAAAGAAAACAGACAAAGAAAGAAAAAATATGTAAAGAAGAGTATGAGAGAAATAAGAACGGAAATAATGAAAGAAAACAAAACTAAGAACCTAGAAGAAAGAAAGAAAGAAAAAAAGAAAGAAAGAAAGAATAAATAAAGTACGAAAGAAAGTGAGAACGAAAGAAAGAACGAAATATGAACCGAAGAAAGAAAGAAAGAAAGACAAAAAAGACCAAACGAAAGAAAGAAACACGAAAGAAAGAACGAACGAACGAAAGAAAGAAAAAAGAAAGAAAGAAAACGGACAAAGAAAGAAAGAAAGAAAGAAAAAAGAAAGAAAGAAAAACAGTATGACAGAAATAATAAAGGAAATAATGAAATAGAACAAAAGAACCTAGGATAAAAAAAGAAAGAAGAAAAAAAATAAAGAAAGAAAGAACGGATGAAAGACAAATGAATAAAGAAAGAAAGAAACAAAGAAAGAAAGATAGAAAGCGGGCAAAGAAAAAAGAAATAACTAAAGGACAATATGAGAGAAATTAGAACGAAAATAATGAAACAAAGTAAAACTAAAAACTTAGAAGAAAGAAAGGGAGAAAGAACAAAAGGAAGAACGAAAGAATGAAAGAACGAATTAAACAAAGAAAGAATTAAAGAAAGAAAGTTTAAAAGAAAAGAAAACGAAAAAAGGAACAAATAAGTAAAAGATGGGAAAGTAGAAATTGCAAATACAAAGAAATTCGAATTCAGAAAAATTGAAAAAAATAATACAGCAATAAAATAAAATGATTTCCGGAAGGAATGAAATACAAGACAAACAATATAACAATAGGTAAAATTATTTAGATTAAGAAAAACTATATGAAAAATTATTTAAAAATATGACGAGACTGGATGAATAGATATAAAAAGAAAAAAGTCTATGTATGGATATGTCAACACCGAATAGATTATCTTAGTTTGGAATAAATGAACAAATGAGAGAGTAGGAATCGTCTGGCGCAACATTACTTCAAGTAGGGTGAGCGTACTAAGAAGGAAGTCCAATTCATGTATGCCCCGGTTCATAAAAAAACAACGCCCATTCATGAAATTAAACAGAAAACAGTCTTATTTCAATCACTGTTTGTTTTTTTGTTTGTTTTGTTTTTTTGTTTTTTTTTCGTTAAGTTATAAATATATCATATATATAAAGTACAGTGTGTGTGTCTGTTTGTGAGGGTGTGTGTACGAGCATCTCCTCCGCTCCCAATGGTCCGATTTCTATGATGCATAGCTCATTCAAAAGCCCGAGAAATATTAGGCACAGGGAACGATTTTCGTTGATGTCAAGGGTTGCCTCATTATGCGAGGTTAAAAACATATATTAATATAATATAGTAGGCATTATCGTTGCTTTAATGGTTCAAGGGGAGTGACTCTTCTTTTCAGTTTGTATCCAAAATTGCAGTGCACGTTTTATTATAAACTAGCTTAAAAGCCGGCTTCTCAGGCGGCATTTAAGCTAGCTTCTGTAAAGAACACTTGGCTTGGTCATCATCACAATAGCTAGGGAGGAGTAGATGCAATACGGATCAATAAACTACAAAGGAACTCAAAATTGATTGCTGCAATAAAGTACTGAATTAATGTTTAATCTTCCCCTTTAAAAGTCCAACGGTAATACCTCTGCTGCCATTGAAAAACGATTTGATGTACGTAGATCCTTATTTTCCGTATAAAAACAATTATTTTTATTTCATGGGTGAAAAAACAGGGGACAATTTCTAAGATAAAATTAATATAGTATAAAAGGGGGAAACAGAAATTATTAGTTATACCTTCAAACTTGGAAGAGTTAAAGTTACGTAATAGCTAATTAAGTGGAATCTATATGAATAAATGCGAAATTGGTACTCAATTCTTCCACGAATTCTGCAGTTAAAAAGCCCCAACTCTAATTTATAATGATATGTATTTACTCACCCCGCCATCCCCACGAGTTCAGGTTGTGACACAAGGTCGGTTTAATGTGGGGAGCCCGAGCGCGTGTACCCGGGCTAAGAATAAAATTTACCCAAGACTCCGCAACCGTCGGTTGCGTTGGCCTCGGTCCGTGCACCGATCCCTCTATCTAGTGCAATGAGAGGGGTCGGACTTGGGCAGCTATTCCCCAGGGCCAGCACCTCTCAGTTTAATCTTCCTCAGTTGCAACTCTGTTCTTTGACGGAGTCGCCCTTGAGTGCACTGTGCCCAGACAGAGCTGCTACTGGAGATGATAAATAAACGTGTTACAAACTTTCTTCATAGTAATTTGCACGAAAGGTATATAGTTTCTATCCTCCCAGTAAGACGAGTTGTGACGCAAGGTCTTTTTTAAGGTGGGAATCCGAGCGCGTACACTCGGGCAAATGAGAAAAAATGTCTACAGCCCCTCGTTTTAACCATCTGGTTGCGCAAACCTCAAAATTTCCCTAACCGATCCCTCCCTCTGGTGCAATTGGAGGGTGCGGCATCGGGCAGCTGTTTCCCAGGGCTGGAAACTCTGAATATAATTTTCTCAGTTATCCCTCTGTCCTTTGAAGAGAGAGACGCAACTGAAAGATGATAAATAAACATGTTAGAAACTCCTCCAAATAGTAATTTGTATTTACTCAACGCCCCACGAGGTCGGTTTAATGTGGGGAGCCCGAGTGCCTACACCCGGGCCATGAACAAAAATTTCCTGAGCCCCTGTAACCGTCGGCTGCGCTGGCCTCGGTCCTTGCACCGATTCTGCTCTCTAGTGCAATGAGAAAGTGCGGGCTTGGGTAGCTGTTCCCCAGGGCCGGCACTGCATATTATAACTTTCGTCAGTTGCGACCCTGTACTTTGACGGATTTAACTAATTAGTGCACCCTGCCTAAAGACAGACACGCAATTAAGAGATGATAAACCATGAATTGAGATTTATTTGACCGCCAACTGAGTCAGGTTGTGACACAAGGTCAGATTTTAATGTGGGGACCTAGTAGTTTTCACTCCGTCCGCTGGTCTAAGCTGCTCATAGCTTGTCCAAACTTGTCATGAAGCTGGTCAAGCTAACATTTGGGTGGTCCATTTTGGTATGAAGCCACCCTCCCACGTGGGTTGCATGTGGCACAAGGCCGAGTTTAACGTGGGTTTGAAAGGCCCGTATATTCGACAAATTTCTTCCGTAGAACATTGTTTTTATAAACATGGATCGGGTTGCAGTCAACCTCCCCGAACGAGACTCTGCACTTCTCGTCCGGGTTCAGTTTTCTCTGAAAAGAAATACTTAGGCAGAGTTCTTTAAAGTCAAGCCGAGAAGCTCGGCAGAATTCAGTCAGAATGGTTAAAATTGGTCGAAGCCGGTTCAAGATAGATACCACCAGCACAGGGACGGAGCCCTGAGGATGACCACTTTTAAGTGAGATCACTAAGTCAGTTTGTGACCGTTTTTAACGTGGAGACCCCAGTGTTTCCACGAAGGCCGCTGGTCAAAGCTGGTGTTTGGTACGCAAATGTGAACATAGTAATTGTCCAAAAATTTATTAACCCCAACAACCTTCGGTTGCTAAAAATTTTCGGTTGTAGTTATTATACGAATTTCTCTCATTGCTGCAATGAGAAGGCGCGGCCTCTTGAAAGGACGAGCTGTTCTCCTGTATTACTTTTTGTTTCAGTTGTCCATCTGTCATTGATAATATGAAAATTACTAGTCAATTGGATATACTACTGTATTCCAAGGATGATGACGCTTAAAATAGGAGAAAATAGCGCATCTAGGACAATGGCGTCAAATAGTCCCTCAGTTAAAGGGATTCTGCGATATTTATCCATTTGACCCTTCCGTTTTTTGAAACAGGTCTGACAAGGTCAGTTTTTAAGGTCATGGGGCTCTTATTTTAATTTTCCTCGATCCTTCTTTGTCTTAGCTGGTTATAGCTTATTATTATTCGTCTCATCATCATCATCATCATCATATCTAGTCCAGACTGGTCAGAGCTGGTTCAAATAGTAATTGCCGTGATACCACCATAACCAGGGACGGAGCTTTGATTGACCAGTGTATGCATTTCTTTCTGGATCCCGCACACAGACATAAGGTCAGAAATCCAATCAATTGCTCGCAAAAAAAAAACAGACATATATTTTATATAGATCTACATAAGGTGATATACTCTTTGAATTTAATTAATTTTATTATTATTCTTAAAATATTTTATTTCTTTAATTAATATTGTCTTTTTCAGCTGTCTTCTTTTATTCAAGGTTTGTTTTGATTTTCATATAAAAATTTATTCGTAGTTTAGGAATATCGTAAATTTATATAGTCCAAACTAAAATTTTTGAAATTTACATTTTAGTTGGCCGAATTTTTCAACAAGATTTGGCAAATTTTTATAAAACTTCCTCCAATTTTATATCCACAAAATTTGAAAATAGTATCCAATTTTCATTTAACATTTTGTTTAAAAAAAATTTCAAATAGCTTAAAAATATCTTACTTTATGAGGCGATAAAATATCGCCAAAACCTGGTAGTTTTCAAAAAATATTACTGCAATTTTGAATATTGTAAAAATATATTTAAAAAATTTTTTTTATCAGTTTTAAAAACATTGTATTTTTTTGGGGACATCCAATTCACCAAAAAAAAGTTGTTACTGCAGTTTCGCATTTTATATATTTTCAAAAAAAAAAAAGTGACATAAGCTTTGTAATAATAACCTGCATCAGTTTTAAAACTAAGAAAAACAAATACTATAGAGGACCAAATACGGAATCTTTGTCAATATTTTGCCCATGCCAAGCCAAGATGATGCAGAAAACAGTCATCCTTGGCTTAAACGAGTTAATAAATAGAGGTTTTTTCTTGTTGGGCCTTCTACGAAATAGTGAAAAATTTTCAAAAGCGTATTCTGTTATAAAGATGTGAAACAAAGGCATCTTATAGGGGACACTGTAGTGAAAATCGAACTATTCTTTTCAGTAGTAACTGATCTAGCAAAACAAGCTTGCTAACCATTTCACCACGCCGAATGTGAAATTTCAGTAACATTTAAACGAATAAAACATTTAATATCATTTCAACATGCGTTCTGTTTGGTATTGCTCAAGATTTGAACAGTATTAATTGTTTTGAACGTTTCCTAATATTTATTATAAATATTTGAACATTAATTTATAAAAATTTTATTTGTCAAATTATTACAACAATTTAAAGTTCATATTACGCTAAAATTGCTGAGCCAGAAGTGTTTTCCTTGAAAGAAAAATGACGATGCATAATTCACTTTGGAAAAGAACTGGCAGAGGCAGTAACTTTTAAGAGGAAGTGTTTAAATATCAAACCCGGAAGTGCCCAATAATTTAAAATTGTTAATATGAAAAAAACCAAAACAGGTCAATTGGATATACTACAGTGTATTCAGAAACATAAAATGCTTTGCTATATATAAAATATATATAAAATAGCGCATCCAGGACAATGGCGCCATAATAGTCCCTCAGTTAAATTTTTTTGACAAAATGGGAAACACGCTTATCCATTTGTCCTTCCGTTTTTTGAAACGAGCCGTAGATAACGATTGACAATCTTTTAAAAATTTTGAAGGTCAGTTGGAAAGCTCGGAATTTTACACTTATCGAGAAAAGAAACTGATCCTTATTTTATTATTCTTATTTATTATTATTATTATTATCATCATCATCATCATCATCATCATCATCATCCTCAGCTTTCTGTAATAATAATAGATGAGTTATTAATAATATTTAATTATTCGGATTATTGTCCATCATCTTTGTCGCACTATTTATTATTGTTTTATTTCCTTTATATTTCTGATGTGTTATTATACATTATTTCTTTCTGGATATTGTCCTCATCAGACATAAGGTCAGAAATGGCATCAATTAAAAAAAAAAAAAAAATGGGGACATATATTTTACATTATTAGATAAATCCTTTCTTTGTCGCCATATTTCTTCGTAAGATTTCGGTTCAATATCTGTCTATATTAT